TTTTGTGCACAATCCTTTTCCACAATACTGTACCTCATCATCATTAACTTGAGTGTGGCGATCGTAATAGTCAATGATCCAGGTCAGTGTACACGTAATACGCATTACCAGTGCCATCCAAAAGCATAGGCCGTAGTGCTGTTTCGCCCAACGGAGGCCTTCATTTGCGTAGGCTTTCCAGTGGAGGGCAATGGGAGACAAAAAGATTTATACAAATTATGGCATTAAATAATCCATAATATAATGTAGAGATAAAAAGTGTAATCTCTGTTCCCCTCAACGTATATATAAATAGACAATACTTTAGCTAACAATAGATAAAAATGTAATATTTTGTCTAAAATATCTCAATAATTACTTTAATAGAGAATATTCTGTATATAAATTCATATTTAGTTTCGCGAATCATAAGTTTATTAAGACATAACTTTTATATCATATATAATGCAGGTTTTAAAACAGCATTTTAACACACATTTCAATAACTTTTCAAAATATAATGGCATCAATTCACGCCATATATGATATATAATAAGCGAAACATACATTTCTCGGGCACCAAAAGTGCACATAATTTCACGTCATTTCTAATTACACGTAATTATAGTTATGAAGTAAACGGGCATTAAAAGGGCTTTTATTAAAACTAATACTCCATTTGGTTTAATGCATACAGCGAGAGAGAGAGAGAGAGAGAGAGAGAGAGAGAGAGAAAGTCATAGAAAATACAGAGAGATATGTAACGAAAATTTCCGGCCAAAGGATAGGGACTTATAGCATATGAGGGGATAAACTGAAACCACTGCTGGAAAATGAGAGACAAAAGGATTGACTCTCATCTATACACCGGTAATAGTATACTCGCTATCAGTATCCACACGTATATACATACATACCGTACGAAAGTCTTATGGATATGGATAGGCATATCACATACGCGGGGAGGGGAAAGGGATTCGTGTCGGACGTATAGATTTAGTCAACAGGAAAATAATTAGAATTGACTTTTCCATTAACTAACCTGTGCTCACATCCGGTAGCGATAATAATTGGTATATCAATGATTTGCCATTAAATGACAACTGGGTCTCCAGCCATTCCGTCTCATTATAGACACTGTAATAATAGAGAGAATCGGTATAATTATTCATTAAATGTGATTTGTCCATGTGGCATATTAAAATTAATATGAATATAAAATAATTAGTTTGCATCAATTTAGTAAAATTAATTAATAGTAATCATGGAGTTTATGCCATTGTAATCGGGTTTAATGTGTGTGGGTATTATTAGCCGTAATTAAATCGCTAATCAATATTGAAAATGTCGTTTAATTTTTCGCCGGAAATTCAATTGAATCCTATAAATAGTAGCCAAACATATATACCCCAAAAAACTATATACTTTCTGATGAATGAATATTCTGTGAAATGTACAAAAATTTATGTTAAATACAAAACAATACAGAATCGGAAATACAGTTAAAGTCAATGAAGTTTCTATATTGTATGTGATATATAAGTCAATAAAAAACTAGTGGATATCCATATCTTATGTGTTTTTTAAAAAGCAATGGCATTAAGTGTAATATTCTGTGAATAGAGTGGGAATAACTGGCTATTAATGGTATGCCTACCAGTGCTTTGCCGGGCGATAGTCGTATGGACTATAAAAATACAAGTTTTTATAACTAACGGATGTAATTGGAGTACACAATGAATCACAAATATATTATATAATGTGTGTATAATAATCATATCAATAACACATTACATATAAAAAGCGATTGTAAGCTAAGAAATAAAACCATTAAATGGTGTTCCTTATGATAGGGACACTACATATCACTCTCAGGGCTGCCATTCATTCATACAGACAATTGTCAGACACAAGAAAAAACACCTAAAAATTAAACCACTTTTGCGATATTTATAGCAATTTTGAAATCTCTCCCTCTCTCTCTCTCTCTCTCTCTCTCTCTCTCTCTAAAGTGAGTCCAAATTGACGATAATATTCACTATTAAAGAGTTGGACCCATAAATGGTTGGATAGATTTTGTGAGACACCTAATGGCCAGCAATTTGTGATCAAAACAGAGCCTAATATCACTCGCGAAACTGTTTACCCATTTTCAATACCTCTCTCCTTAACTATCACTACATATTATGAGACATTATGTGTATTATTATATCATATTATCGGCAAATAAGTTCACGACTCATATCAAGAATATTCGTGTCATTGTATATATAGCTCAGTATTGACTGCAATCTGCAAAACTCCGTACAAATAACGACAGCGAGAATCAAATCAAAAGTTTTCAAACGTATTATGAAATGAATAAAAGTATTGATAAATAGTTTGCGAGAAAACTTTTTCTCGTCACTAATATTACGCCGAGAGAGAGAGAGAGAGAGAGATGGAGAGAGAGAGAGAGCAAAGGAGTAGTATTGAGAAATCAATTTCGGTGTCACTATTCTCTCCCTCTCTTCTACACACAAATCACATCCATTTTATCGCCAAAAAAGTGCAAAATGCGCTCAAATATTGTCCCTAAAAATAGAGGCCTAAAGAGTCAATCGATTGATAACAACACAAAACGCGAGTCATAAACAAAACTATAGCCGAAAAACAAATTATTTTCATATATTTTCTGCCATTAGTTTTTGAAATATATATTAATATCAACGGAGAAACGGCTTAATGAGTCGATTGGTGACGAATATCTCAACATTAAAATAAATGGCAAAAACTTTTTCACCATTTATTTAAATGCACTCAAATATAAAAACCATATTAAATGCATACATAACTATACACACAAACGGCTACGCAAATATATTACATGTTTAAAACCGATTGATATTAATATTAGTATTGATAACATTGAGAAAATCATACGAAACACAAAAATATTATAATTTTTATGATGTATTGACGGCACGAATACTCGCATCAAAAAATCAAAGGAGCGATAAATCATCAAAATCTTTGTCATTAGTCTTAACGATAATTTGCTTTTAGGGTTTACAGCAGTATATACAGTATATATAGCCAGTAAAAAACGTAAGACATACAAAAAACTAGCAAAAAATACTTGGCGTTCATATACTATACGTAATAATCAATCAATTGATTTGTGAAATGAACAGAAAAACGCCGAAAACACCCTTAAATTGAATGAACTTTCAAAATAGCCACACAAATAGGGTTCAGACGTATATTATATCAATAAAGAAATTTGTGATACATTTCTATGCATACGACTGAATGCATGAATATCTGAATAATTGATTGATCGGGTAGTGAGAGGTAATGGACGGGAATATTAATACAGCGATTAATACGCGATTTATTGGCCATACATTTGTCGTATTAAATATGATTATTCATATATCGTATACAACACACCATACCATCGATTACATCAAACTGAATGTCAAACAAAAACTCAAAAAACTAGACCATTAACTATAGGTATGTACTGTATATATATAAATATAACCGGAATGTATGTCTCAAAGGCATTGTGCGGACAACCCTTACATAAGACAATACCAGTGCCAATGTCTGGCGAGACAACAGTTTGCGGTGATGTCTGACAAAACTGGAGGAAACTATTATTAAGAGCCAATATGTGACGGGTGGACGCCCAGCAAAAACAGCACAAAAACCGCATTAAATGTGTTTTTGGTTGTGTTATAGACTCTGTGTCGATCGGTATGGCAGAGAGCACCGGGAGATTGTGAGATGCGATTTCGATGTGTGTATTGAGCCTATTGTGCACTCTTTCACTCACTATAACCGTTGAGTCCTTTTGTAGTGAAGTCTGAGCATCACTTTCTCCGCTGACTCCGACTCCGGGTATATTCACTGCTCACTAAATACATAGTGAAATATATTTGTATTGAATGGCGAGAAAAAGCCAGAAAAAAGACTAAAACGTCTCAAACGACATATACATCGACCAGAGAGTGAGAGTAAAGGGAGAGATGGGTAGTGAGAGAGCATAGGAGAGAGACTTTCGATTATTTCTCTTATCCCAGAGTCGATCAGTTTTTGCTCGCATTTGCTGTTTCGCTACTGAAAGGCATTGCGAGAGAGAGAGAGAGAGAGAGAGAGAGAGAGATTCGGAGAAGAA